CTCCTCCACTCTGCCTTCCTGTTCCCCCAATTCTCCTCTCTGCTAGTCCCACCTATACTTCCTGCCTGGCTACTGGCCAATCAGTGTTTTATTTATCAATAAATCATAGCAACATATATTCACAACATACAGGACATCCCACAGCAGACCACAGCAGCAACTCTTGTTCATTAGATCCTAATTTTTTTTTCCAAATACCATCGTGTTTTACTTTTGAAATTTTGTACATGTACCCTGGGATCCTAAGTTTCACATTCTTTTTTTTTTTTGTTGTTGTTCTTTTTTTTTATTTTGCAATACAGTTCAGTTCTACATATCAGCCACGGATTCCCTTGTTCTCCCCCCTCCTGTCCCCCTCACCTTCCCCCCAGCCCCCCCCCCATTCCCATCTCCTCCAGGGCAAAGCCTTCCCCACAGATTGAGATCAACGTGGTAGACTCAGTCCAGGTAGGTCCAGTCCCCTCCTCCCAGGCTGAGCCCAGCGTCCCTGCATAAGGCCCAGGTTTCAAACAGCCGACTCATGCAATGAGCACAGGACCCGGTCCCACTGCCTGGATGCCTCCCAAACAGATCAAGCCAATCAACTGTCTCACCTGATCCAGTGGGGACCCCTCAGCCATTGGTTCATAGTTCATGTGTTTCCATTCATTTGGCTGTTTGTCCCTGTGCTTTATCCAACCTTGGTCTCAACAATTCTTGCTCATATAAACCCTCCTCATTCTCGCTAATTGGACTCCCAGAGATCCACCCAGGGCCTAGTCATGGATCTCTGCATCCAGATCCCTCAGTAGTTGGATGAGGTTTCTAGCACGCCAATTAGGGTGTTTGGCCATCCCATCACCAGAGTAGGTCAGTTCGGGCTGTCTCTCGACCATTGCCAGCAGTCTGTTGTGTGGGTATCATTAGATCCTAATTTAAGACATTACTAACACATGTAGAAACCACAAGGACCTACAAATCACAGCATTCCCTTCATTCGGGCATGGTTAACACAGAAGGACTAGAGGGAGGCCCATGCCTAACTCAAGGTCATCATTTCACTGCACAGGTCCTGGGACTCTGGGAGACCATAATGTGGCTGGGCCTAAGGACTCTCAGAAAAGTGTTAAGAACACCAAATCTTGAGGCAGACCACTGGGCTCAATCCTGGCCTTACCATGATGGGAACATTGGCCAGGTGGACGGCTTCTCTGTGTTTCAGTTTCCAATCTGTAAGGGTTGGTAAGATGCCATTTTGCAGACTTCTCACAGGGAGCAAATAAATTGGTTGGTAATAGATGTAAATCTTTTGGACCCTGGTGCCTGATAAAACAGACCTTCATTATTGTTATTAACATGACAATTATTGTATGAGATTCTTGCCAGCCAAGAATTCCTTTCTAAGAATTTGGTGTGTGTCTGTGTGGGTGGGGATGGGGGTGGTGGTAAGATAGCTCAGCTGCTCAAACTGCCCTGCCACTAAGTCTGACAACCTGACGCTCAGGATCCATATGGTGGGAAGAGAGAACCTGCCTTAGTAAGTTGCCTTCTGACCTCTGCACACGCACTGTGACTTACACACATGCACACATCTAATTGAAAAATAAATAAATAAATAAAAAATAAATTTACTGGGATAGGATCTTAGCATGCAGAGGCTGGCCGTGAACCCCCTAGGAAGCCCAGGCTAACCCTGACCTCTCTATCCTGCTGGAATTACAGCGAGCACCACAGAACCCAGGTGAACTCCGGTGTTTTCTTGTCTCGCCTTCAGTTCCTCATCCTCCCATCAGCACAAGAGGAAAGTAGATGACAGTATGTGGACATGGGTTCCAGAACAAGTTTTAAATGCACGTCCTTTGTCACCTACATGCAGCTGCCCCTGAGGTGGAGATATGGACCTGCTGAGTGCTGTGGGGGGATTTCTCAGGGACTGAACATGATAAATGCGTTTGCACCGGACTCTGCTGAAGGGGGTCACCATCTCTCTGAATGTGTTGTGGGACTTTTAGTTCTGCGTCAGGTGCCCCTTTCTGGTGGTGGTGGCCCAGGCTGTCTTGGGTCCTGGGGATGGACCCAAGGGAGAAAGTGAGACCTGGATAGTGATGGGGGCTCTTGGTGTGGTTAAGAAGGTAAAAGACATATAGTAACGACTCCGAACCAAAGCTGTCAAAGACTTCAGTTTTCTGTGATAAATGGGGGCCTCTGCTGGGTTCTCAATCTTTGCAAGGTAGACATCAGCCAGGAATAGTTGATCATGCTCTAATCATGAGAGGATGCACCCATGCTTGGCATCTGGGCACCACAGCTATGCAGACCTCAGGGGGAAATGAAAGGAAGGCTGAACTTTGGAAATACACCTTTTCCTCTCTTAAAAGAAAAACCTTGCTGTGGGGATGCGGTTCACTGTTAACGTGCTGGCTTTGCAAGCCTGAGACCTGAAGTTTAGAGCCATAGAACTTACAAAAATGCCGGGTGGGTGGGCGGGCATGGCCACTTACCAGCTCTGGAAGCTCTGGAAGGCAAAGACAGGATCGCTGGAAAAAGCTGGCTAGCAAGACTAGCCATATTGGTGAGCTCTGGGTTTGATTGAGAGAACCTGTCTCAGTGAAAAAGTTGGAAGAGTGATCAAAGATGATTCCTGACAGACATCAACCTCGGGTCTCCACATGCATGTACATGTATGTATCCCCACACACACAAAGTGTGCAATACATGTATACACACACCACACACACCACATGAAAATGGAAAAAAGACCCCTAAAAATCGTAATAGCCCTTGTTCCTGGATGTTATTTGCATGGTTTCTAGCTTTGGGAGAAATCCTAAGGGTCTTTGTTGCCTGAGGAGTTCCATGCCCGGCTACTAGTTGAGAGAGTGCCACAGAAGCCAACATCAGAGACTGGGGTCTGTAGGAAAATTCTTCCTCAGAGTGCCATGTTGAGGAAGGGGCAAGAACCACTGGAAATCAGTCACACAGAGACCAGTTTGCCAGCCTCTCTTGTCTGTTCTCAAGTTTGTTGGAAATAAATGCTCTATACAGCTCAGATCTCTGAAGTCCCCTCAGGGTAGAGGTAAACTTGCCTGTTGGACGCTCTGTTGAGGAGGACCATGAGAGGGGTGGATGGGAGAAATACCAGCACTCAGTGCTGTCGCTATTGTTGTGGGACAGGCCTGTCAACCCCCTGATCCACCCTGCTGAAGGTGCTCTCAGAGGGAACGCATTTGAAAACCCTCCCTGGGGCTAGACCTATGACTCAGTGGTTAAAAGTCCTTGTTGCTGCTTTTTCAGAGGACTCAGATCCCGATGCCCATCTCCAACAGCTCACAGCCGCCTGGAACTCCAGCTCTCTTCCAGCCTCCACAGACACTCACATACACCGTGGGTGCATGCACTCACATGGGCATATCCACCCAGACATGCACATGTACACATAAATAAAATTCCTGAAAATTAAAAAATTAAAATCAGCTTCATCTGGTGCTAGAGACATGGCTCAGTGATTAAGATCAGTTGCTGCTCTTCCAGAAGACCAAATTTAGTTTCCAGCACCCACACAGGACAGCTCACAGCTCTCTGTAACTTACGCTCCAAGAATCTAATGTCCTCTTCTGGCCTCTACAGGCACTCACACACACACACACACACACACACACACACACACACACACACACACACACACTTTGTTTGTTTTTTGTTTTGTTTTTTTGAGACAGGGTTTCTCTGTGTAGCCCTGGCTATCTTAGAACTCACTCTGTAGACCAGGCTGGCCTCGAACTCACAGAGATCTGCTTGCTTCTGCCTCTGGAGTGCTGAGATTAAAGGCATGCACCACCACTTTCCAGCTCACACACATTTTTTTTTTAAACTCTTCAGGGAAGTTTTCCCCATTGCCCCTAACATACCACTAAGCACCAATATGTGTTGTTGAATAAAATGGACGTATACTAGCCAGAGCTAAATGCCATAGAGATTAAAGTGCCAATTTTGGTGATTATCCTGGCTGTAGGAGGTGGAATCACAGCCCAAGGTTCTGTCCTTGTGACATCCTTAAGGAGCAAGAACCCCAGAGCCCACACTCCTTGTTACTTGAGTTTTATCTACAGAGCTCGTAGTCTCAAAAGGCAATATATCAACACCCTATGAGTCTTGCTTCTAGCTCGTCTCTAGCTAGCAGATGGAAAGGGAGAAAGGGGTGGAGCAAAGGCTGTCAGTCATTCTGAAATTCAGTCACGTGACTCTGGTCAGGTGGTCAGCCACACTCCTGAGACTCAATGTCTGTGCCTCTCTCCTCAGCCTTTGCATTCTTCCTTCATTTTGTGGATATTTAGGTTCAGGCATTTCTTGAAACACTGAGTCAGGTTGGTGGTTTCTGCTGGTATCAATCTTGTATTCCTTCATGGGCTTTTGGCCTGGGTAAAGGGGGTAAGTCAGAACAAACAAATCATTAACATGGTGTGTGCTAAGCTATCATGACATGTACACATGCAGAGTCCCTTCTACAAGATAGAAGTATAAGAAGGTGGAGTATAAATATACCTTTATGATTTAGAATGCAAAGGTGTTGCTATCAATCCCTTCTGTCCCTTTCACAAGGACCAAAACAACAGAAGAATGTATTTTGGATGAGCACAAATCATGCAGGTGTAACTGGAGCATCCTCAGTAAGGGCGGCTTTCTGGTCCATGGAGAGAGACATCCACGCATAGACCAGCTGATTATATGGATGTGTAGAATGTTGGGTGTGTCAGACTCTGTGGTGGCTGCAGGTCTTGGTTTTAACCTGATGTCAAGGTTCTGCAGTTTCAGAAGGCTCTGGTTCTAGAACATCTCCTGTTGGAAACTCCAGTTCAGCATCATTGCTCTGCACAAAAGTTAGGGAAACAGAGATGGATACAACGGGTCCCTGAAGTCAGCTGGGATGTGGCTGTAAGCCCAGAGTCTGCTCATTAGCATCCTTGTTCTTTTTTGTTTCTCTGTGTCCTGGGTCTCAGGCATCTGCCCCTTCTCTTTTCCAGGCTGGAATTGACGGGGAAAGCATTGGCAACTGCCCCTTCTCTCAGCGTCTCTTCATGATCCTCTGGCTGAAAGGAGTCGTGTTCAATGTCACCACTGTGGACCTAAAAAGGTAAAGGACCGAATGTTCATGAGGGAACACCCAGGACAGGGAAGATTCAGGTGGGATGGGAGGAAGCCAGTGCCATCCTGTGGCTCCAGGCAGCCTCTGATGGATTCCATCTCATTGCCCACAACTGTTCCCAGAGACCAGGGCACAAAGGAGGTTGAAAAAGCCAGGACCTCTCTCAGGGCTGTGTTTCACTACCATGACTGTCGAGAATTGATTAGCAAGAAGAAAAAAAAAAAAGAAATCATATGGCCACTCAATGAGAGTCGGTCTCAAAGATGGGCACAGGCATCATCTAAAAGCACAATATTTATTACAATAGCACAGACATTGCATTTGTGGGATGTGGCTAGAGTTTTCCTGCCTGGCCCACAGTCAGGACAAATCTCTGTCACCTGCCAGTCCCACAGCCGCTCAGACCCAATCAAGTAAACACAGAGACTTATATTGCTTATAAACTGTATGGCCATGGCAGGCTTCTTGCTAACTGTTCTTATATCTTAAATTAATCCATTTCTATAAATCTATACCTTGCCACGTGGCTCGTGGCTTACCGGTACTTTACATGCGGCTTGTCATGGTTGTGGCTTGCAGTGTTTCCTCCCACCTTCCTGTTCCCTCAATTCTCCTCTCTGTTAGTCCCGCCTATACTTCCTGCCTGGCCACTGGCCAATCAGTGTTTTATTTATTGACCAATCAGAGCAATTTGACATCCAGACCATCCCACAGCAGTGGGACCCTGGTGGGACTTTAGGAGTGACAACTGAGTGCTCAGGGCATTGGAGTCCAGACCGTTTCTGATCCTTTACCTTCACTCTCAGAATCCATAGTGTGAGGGTTCTAGACCAGTGAACTGCATGTAGAGGTCCTAAAAGGAAAGAAATGGCTTGATTGTGTCTGTTCATTTGCGCTTCAGAGTATCGTTTTATTCATATTTATTTATTGTGCTGATGCCCAAACTTGGAGTCTCATGCATACTATTCAAGTACTATACCACTGAGCTATAGTCCTGGTCCTCTGACTAGAAGTCTCGAATCCTAACAGGCTTCTTACTCCACTGGGGCTACCAGTGCCCAGAAAGCCTTTATGGCATCCCTCTGCCCACAGTGGAAAAGCATCCAAAACAGTCTATGCTTTATACAGTTCTCTCAAAGCTTCTCACTGTGTCCCATCTGCCTGTAGGCTGGCCTACCTCCGGCTGCTCTTGCTCCCAGCTAGGAGGTTTCTTCTGTGTAGACAGGCTTCTCTTCCTCATCTCTTCAGAACTGCAGAATACCCGCCTCCAGGCTCAACTTCAGCCCCAATTCCTTGGTAAGGCCTCTGTACCACATCACTCTCCGGAGTGGCCTCCCTTTAAACTCACCTAGCTCCTATTATATGGGATTAGGCATAATCATTATTTAACATTTCACACAGTTATAGCATCCACAGTCCCAGTGCTTTATAACCACGGAGGGCTTTCCTGTGTAAAATCCTGCACTAGGTAATTCATAAGGTAAAGTCCATGACTCCATATTATACAGAAAAGCTGAGACCAACCCACCAAGGCGACCTGCCCCACGTGCCCAGCCAGAAATAGGATGGGCTGATACTAAGATGCTAGTTTTAGTGCAATAAGGGAACATGTGTCTGCCATGCAGCTCGTGTCTGTAACAACTGAAAAGAGCCAACTCCAGAGCCTGGGAAGTGTGCTTCCACAGAGACCAGAGTCCTTAGATTCTCACCTGTGGAGCTCTCCGGAGTTCCCAGCTGGAGCTCAAGCTGGGGAAGGGAGTCCCTCCAGCATCTTAGGGATGCCTCTGTCTCTCTCTCACATTACCAGACCTGGTCCTGCCAACACCTCTCTGAGGCAGGCCCAATGAGTAGCACCCTCATAGCTTACAGTACCATCTACATGCACGTATATTTTAATTTCTAGGAAAAGTGATCTCTTACTCTGGTATCACCATTGATTGGCTGAGTGATCTTGAACTTTTCTGAGCCTCAGTTTCTTCATCTGTCCAATGAGGATTAAAAAGCAATGCCTTCATAATCCATTGGAGTGCTGTTGAGGGGTTAAAAAGGTCATGCCTTTATGTTTGGGGTTCTACTTGGCCTACTGCATGAACCTGAAACCCAGCAGTGATGTTACATCTTAGCAATGTTCCTGTCCTCATGTCACCGTCAATCCAAGGAGCTAAAAAAAAAAAGAGGCACATGAAATCATTTACAAATCAGATCTAGAAATATGTAATTCTGGAATTTCAATTCCAAGTGCTAATAAGAGGTCTACACATAGAGAAGGAGTGGGACTGGCCAGCAATCTTTGGACAACGCCCAGCTAAGCTTCAGAAGGCAGAGGGGCATGTCCCCAAGGTGTCAGAATCCAGCAGTCAACGTGTACCCCGTATCCCAGAAACAAAACCACACCACCACCCTATCAACAGATCACTGTATCTTTAAGCCACAGTAACTGCTCAAGAATAAAGCCAGTAAGGACTTCCTTCCTCAGTGTCAGTTGCTAAACAGGAGGAACCGGCAAAGAATGTCCTCTCTTTACGGGAGGGGAGGGACACACACAGAGTCAACAAAGGCTCTAAGTCAATTAGATTTTAAAAATACTTGGAGTCTCAATTGTCTGAGTTCCAAGTGGTCACAGAGTGAGTCTGGAGAGCGGCCTGTTGGGAGTGACATGGGAGCAGCATGTCATTGAAATTCTTTTTGTCCCCTCCCTAAGTGATTAGGTCAGGAATTTGTCTCATTACAGATGCCTCCCTGCCCCTCTTGCTGACTTCTTACAATGCCTCCATCTCATATTTTCTGCTCCAGTGTCCACAGGAATGTTGCGAACTCAGAGAACACACAGGGCAGTGGATACTTCACATGCCCAGAGACTGCTGCCATCAGCCCCTCTCTCCTTCCCCAATGCCGCCCTCTGGTTCTCCACGCTCTGCTCCCCTCCCTCATCCATCCTTGCTCTCACCTTTGACAGCCTGGCAGGAGGCATTGCAGAAGCACACCACATCACTGGCAGGAACAGAGTCAGGTCTCCCTTGTCGCTGTCACCAGAGGTACTCCTCAGTGGCCGTCAGTACGCTGTCCAGCACGAACTGGGTCCACACCAGGCACTACTGAGGGCAGAGTCCAGAAAGTTCAGTTGGTTACTTGTTCATTCGCCGGATGCGTGCTCCACATTTCCCGGACTCTTCTCCAACATCTATGCCTGCCTCTCTGGATCGTGGGGCAGCTTCAGCACCTCCCTGTCCCCACTGTGTGCCTCGGGGGTAGTGGGGGTTCACTGACACCTGATTACGAATGTGAGCAGCATACCCAGAGGCCTTCTTTCTTCATTGTTTTGGTGTGAGGAGGTGGGAAATGAGCCCAGGGCCTCGCACATACTAGGCGAATGCTCTGCCGGAACCCCAGCTCTCTCTCCCTGAGCTTTCTGCTTTGATATGGTGTCTTGCTAAGTTGCACAGACTAAACCTTGAATTCACTCTGGAGCCCAGGCTGGCCTTGAACTTGAGATCTTCCTACCTCAGCTCACCGTCTAGTTGGGGGGATGGTCCTGTGTTCTCTCTTCTGAGGGACCATGTCAGCTAAGTGTCTTCCTGGTCCCAGGGAAACTGGTGACAAAAGGGATCAGCTTCCCCACACACATGCTGCATTTACTCGAGTCCTGTTAGAAGAATGAAGCTGTAATTCCTTGGAAATTGATCATTTATAATCTGAAGTAACCCCTAAATGCTCTCAAAAGTTTGCTTTAAAAGATTCCAATTCTGACTTGGGAGATTTTAAAGTGACATATATTGAACAGAGTTTTAAAAATACTTCACAACACAACTAATTTTTAGTAAGATTAAAATCATAATAGTCATATTTTAAGAACAGTTTGTGCTCAAATTAAGATTAAAAACAGCAAAGGTGAACTCTGGTGGATTATTAACAGGTTACCAGTAGGACAGCCTCCTCCTCCTCTCCCACATGCAGTGGAAAGCTCAAAACTTTCATAATTGGGTTGGAGTTTTTATCAATATCAGGCCAACTTTTGATCTCTATTTCACAGCTAAAATCATTCATTTTTTTTATTTAAAATTTTATTTTACATGTATGAGTGTTTTACTTCCATGTGTGTGTTTACTTTGTGTGTGCAGTACGTGAAGAGGCCAGAAGAGAGCATCAGTTCCTCTGGATGGCCGGGTGTGTCCTTAACCACCGAGCCGTCTCTTCAGCCCCAGGGTGTTGATTTGTCAAGCCTGGAATTGTGTGTTTCGTTAGACTGATTGGTGAAGCAGCGTTTAGAAGCACAACCCTGAACAGTTAAAGCTGGGAGCTAATTTACAGTCACCATGATTCTCTCCAGATTTTTCCGGTTGTGTTCAGCTTCATCTTGTGAGGTCCCTCTGCCGTTTCCTTACCCCAGATGAGTTTTCTGTGTTGCATCATAGGCCTGCAGAGCTCGATGCAGCTTCTACTGTCTTAACCCTGTACCACAAACCTGGTTATGCTATGGGCATGCTGATTAGCGCCAGACTGGAGTTAAATACATCTCAGAACGGGAGGGCCCCTGGCTCCCGCCATCCCCTGAATCTCACTCTCTCCACAGAAAGCCAGCAGACCTGCACAACCTCGCTCCTGGCGCGCATCCGCCCTTCCTGACCTTCAACGGGGATGTGAAGACTGATGTCAACAAGATAGAAGAGTTCCTGGAGGAGACCTTAACCCCTGAGAAGTAATGAGCTGATTCTTTGCAGAGCTATGGGAAGGGAGAGGGGTAGCTGTGGGAAGGCAGATTCCCAAAGGGGCTACTTCACTTTGGAGCAGGGCCCTCTCCTTTTCAGCAGGGTGGAATGCCAATCTCAAAGTGGGTCCACTAAGGCCAGATGCCAGGAGGTATTGCCAGTCAGTTCCTACAAAGAGTGACTTTAGGGGCCCTGGGGAGATCATTAGCTCTCCTTAACCCTTTAGGCCTGTTTTCCTGACTCTAGCTCACCATACCTGGAAAAACTCGAGATGGGGCAGATTCCCTCATCTTCAGAGGTGAGATGAAAGGTGACATAATGACAGCAGACCAGGAAAGGGACAGCTGGCTCCTGAAACCACACCAGGAGTCACAAGTCTGACAAAGTCACAGATAAACAGACAAATACTGACTGGGACAGGCAGGTGCCAGAGCTGAAAGACCTCCTAGGGACAGACTAGCTGCTACTGATTGAAGAGGAGAGAAGAGACACAGTCTTAAAAGATGCCGGAGCCTAGGCTCATTCCTTGTCGAATACTGTAATCAGAGATTCAAGCAATCATACCTCATTGTTTGAAAACTGGCCCTGCTTAAAGAACGCGTGGACTCAGGGTAGCCAAGGAAAGATCTTCAGCAAACACCTTGGACATTCAGCTCTAAGACTTGCCCTGGGGGCTGGGAAAGGAAGTGGTGTGAAGGGCCGAGGACACTGCTCAGTTGGCGGGTGCTTATCTGGCACGCGAGAAGCGCTGAGTTCAATCCCTAGCCACACACAAACCAAGTGTGTTGGCGCACGCCTGTATTCTCAGCCCTTGGGAGGTAGAGTCAGGAGGATTTGAAGTCACTCTTTGGAGCCCAGGAAGTTCAAGACTAGCTGGGGTACATGGGATCTTGTCTAAAATGAAAACCTCCATAACAAAATAGGCTATAGGTTCAGAGTCAGGTAGGGGGAGCTAACTGGTAGTAGTTCAGGCAAGACAGAAGGAAGGGCTAGGCCGAGGGAGGGGACCGAGGAGACTGGTAAGGGAAGTGGAGTGGGACCACCCACCACCCTCTTGTGTTTACTGAAGTTGTGTTTACCTGTCAGCAGATGTAGTTCCCCATGTGTCAGGCACCACACTCTCCAAATCATGTCATCCTCTCATCAGCCCTGGGACCTGGGAGGAGGGGCGATCCTTACCCTCACCTTTTTATAGTAGCACAGTGGGATAGCCCACGGCAACCAATGATACCTTACAGTTAGAAAATTACTCATCTCTGTTATGCTCTGATGAAGCCCTGAGCAAGGACACGGTCTCCCTTAGGGACATCCTATGTTACCGCGTTAGGACAGTCCGTTGTTTTCACACTGAAGGGGAAGCTGCCCGCAGCCCGTTGGAAGCGGCTGGGTGTAGACTTTCAATAAGGGCATTAGTTCAATTAGTGCAGCCACACACAACACCCAGCAGGCCGCAGCCAGAAGCCACAGATGTCTGTGAACAGAACGCCAGCCAGCTACTAGGATGGAAGTGTCCTGAAGGGGCCGACTCCTCTTTCTTGCTCCCCTGAGACTCAACCTCATTTGCTGTTTGCACTGCTCGCAAATCCCACATGCATAACTGTTTTCAGTAACTCAAGCGAAGTCCAGACATCGCCCGGGGAGGTTAATACTGTCTCCTTGGAACAAATCCTTCCATGCAGGAATGTCTTCCACCCAGTCTGGCAAGGAGGACATGTCCACATGGTTTTCTGTCATGCTGATAGGTGGGATAGGCTGCTCGCTCTGCCAGGGGACATTTGTGTCACCTTGACCCATCCCATCTCTGCTCTTGGCTTCAGGCCTCCTCCGTGAAAGAACGTGTCCTCTCCCAGACAGGTGCCATCCCGTTTCTTCACAATCAGACTAGCCAAGACCCCTGGCTCTCATCACCTCAGCCAATGTCCACAAGGGGCACAAAGACTCTGGGATTATGTACATTTTTTTGAATTCTTCCTGAAGAAGGTCATTATCAGATTCATTGTCTTTTTTTTTTTTTTAAATCAGGTTGTAAAGTTTCAACAGTTCTAGCAGGACCTAGCAGTGTCGGGCAGGGCCATTCTAGCTTCTCCCTGCTGCTCACCCATGCTATGGGTGCTGAGCATGCTGCCTCCCACCCAGGTCTTTTCTGGACTTCAGTTAAGTGTAGGAGGTGTGATGAAGGGCATTCCTGCCGTGCTAGTGACATGCCTATCTAGGCAGTAGGTCCTCGAGGTCGTTAAGTGAACTCCTTCAGAGGCCTCTTAAAGTAAGGACCTTAGTGACAAGATCATCCAGGGTCCTTCTATGCCTCTGTGCCATCAGGTTGGGGCAGGGCCTGCACTTACCGGCCAGTAAATATCACCAAGCCAGTGCCTAGTTCTCAGCTCAGAGTCCTGCCAGTCTGCCCTCAAGCCAGCAAGCAGCAAGGCCAACCTCCCCACTAACCTGGGCAGGCAGGTGGTGTGGCTTGCATCCAGAGGCCCATGCACTGTGCTGCCTGGCCTCCTGCTTCTCCAGGGGGCAGCAAAACTCCCTGTTTCCTGATGCTGCGAAGCCATGTGTTTTTCATCATGCTGCTGTTTGTGAAAACTGCCAGAGAGCCCAGACTTTTCTCCCTTAGTTTTGTTTTTTAAAGGAGAGGAAATCACATACAAATACTCCAATGCTTTAAAAAAAATTCCATTTGGTTCCACGGAGCATTTGGTGTCACGATGAAGAATCCTAGTTTCTAAATGAGACTAACATCCCTCTCTTCTGTGGACCTATTCAGTTAATGCTGAGGGAAAAAGTACAGGAGCTCATGGAGAGTTATTATTGAGACATACCTGGCCCTTGCCTGTGGTCTCCATCCCATAGCCAGAGTGTCTAGGATGCAGAACTGAGAAGCATTGCTGCCTAGCAACCAGGTGCACATCCTGTGTGGCTTTAGGCAAGGCTCTCTCCCTCCTGGAAATGAAGGGGTGACACTCTATGTCCTTCAAGATCCCTTCCAGCCCTAAACCTGTGACTCTATGACTTTCACAGAGGACTTTCCTAGAACTGACTGTTTTAAAATAATCATAGTGAGTAGAAATTGGGATAAGAATTCAGGGGGTGAAGGGGCCAGTGAGATGGCTCAGCACTGAGTGTTTGTCTTGCAAGCACGAAGACAAGAGTTTAGAAACTCACTTAACTCTCCGGCGGGCAAAGCTGGCTGCCTGTAATTCTATCCTTGGAAAGCAGAGGCAGGGGATCCCCCAGAGCAAGCTGCCTAGCTAGATTAGCCATCTTGGGGAGCTCTGGGTTTGACTGAGAGACCCTGCGTGAACAAATGAGAATAAGATAGAAATTCAGTGTGATGGAAGATGATTCCAGACATCAATCTCAGGCTCCCTATGCATGCACACACATACCCACACATAAAAACATGAATACATACATGCACATCTCTCTCACACACATAAACAATTGAAGAAGGAAAGCATAGAATTCAGGAGGCTGAACAAAAACCAGCTGGTCACATGGTGTGCCATGCCATCAGTCAGCTGGTCACATGGTGTGCCACGCCATCAGTCGGTGACAGGCATGCACTGAGTATTAACAAAGCTCCAAATCAAGGCACTGTGATTGTGTTGTTTTGTTAAAATATATATAGAGATCCCTTGCAGCAATAGAGCGGGATTGTGTTCTCCTGTCCCTCTGAGAGGCAGAGACACAGCTTCAGAGGCTCCCATAGGATGCTGCATGGCTTGAATGTGAGTTCTGGAGCCTGTGACTTGGTTTCATGTCTACGCTGCTAGGCAGTGCTCTTGTGTAGTAACATGAGGTACAGTGGCTTCTTAGGACAAGGGCGTTTGCCACCTAAGCAGAGTCTCCGTGGATGGTGTGGCCCTCTTCCACCTTGTAGCCATATCTACACAGCCTCCAAGGTGTCTTCAGCAGAGAGAAGAACAAAGAGGAGCACACACACTGATTTCAAGGGCCGGAGCCACGAGGAGTTACATCACTCTACTCCACCCTGTTCCATTGGCTAGAATCTAGTCACATGACCAGAGTGTAACCCACCCCCTGGGAAATGTAGAAAAGCCCATGGATCCTTAGTCAGTATGCACATTTGCTGCTACAGGAAAATTTAAAACAGAACAGACAGAAAAACACTTCTCTAATTTTGATTCCCAAGCACTATGTGATATTTTGCCAGGCAACAAGAACACATTTCTGTTCAGCCCAAGGATGGACACCACAATAGACCATGAAATGACTCCACGCAAGTCCAGCTTGGCAAACCAATGCACTCATTAGGATGACTTAGGATTGTGGGCAACTCAAAGGTGAAGCCCAGCATGGAAACTGCTTATGAAATCACTGCATCCCTGAACTCCTGTACAACTTGAACCCAGCTCCACGGAGGAACTTCCCCTTCCCCGGGGAGCCTTAGAGAGGAGCTTTGTGGATCATGTGACTCCCTGAGCTTCTAGAATCTTATGTGATTCCCTCCATACTCCAGGAAGGGATGGTTTTTGTTTGGTGGAAATCGCTACACGCATCCAGATCTATAAATGGAGGCCCGTGATGGTGCTCTTACAGGGCTAGTGTAGACGACACTACTGCATAGCCCAGGGCTTTACAAGAAGAGCTCATTCAATGATAAATAGTGAGAAACCAGATTCATACCTGTTCCGTGGCTGTCTTGGGTACAATCCTAAGTGACCTTAGGTCTTACACCACCGATTGCAGGAGAGATGGATTTTAATGAAGAAGTTAGACTGCCAGATGTCAGGGCTCTTACTCTTTTTTTTTTTTCAAGACAGGGTTTCTCTGTGTAACCCTTGCTGTCCTGGAACTCACTTTGTAGACCAGGCTGGCCTCGAACTCACAGAGATTCACCTGCCTCTGCCTCCCAAGTGCTGGGATTAAAGGCATACGCCACCACCGCCCAGCCACAGGGCTCTTAATCTTAAAAAAGAATAGACATGACCACCAGGTGCTCAGTCAAGGGTCAGAATATTCAGAGCTGTTAACCAGCCTCTAGGTGAGGGCTTGGTGAAGTGAGGACGCAGGGATCATGGAGAAGAGGCACTCACCCATGTGTGAGTTCCAAAGTCTAGAGCCTCAGGACCCACTCCAAAGCCAGGCAGACACAGCAGCACCTTTGATACCAGCACTCAGGAAGCAGAGGTGGGGGTCCCCAGATCAAGCTGGCTCTTATTCATGTTAGGCACATGAGGCTTAGGACCACGCCCAGCACAGAGCTGCCACTCAGTGCAAGTAAGTTTTCCCTGTCATCAGAGCACCAAACTGGAAGGACACTGCTTTACAGTCACAAAACTAGCTTCTTATTGGTCCTTAACGATTCTCAGGTCCTTAAATGATCCTTTTCCTTGGGCCTCCAACAGCCTTTGCTATAAAATGGGAGCAGTGGGTCCTTCTACCTCTGCCTGGTCCTGAGGACTTTTCCAAGGGCAGTGTCTCTGACATTAAACCTGCCATGGCCCCAGGAGCAGGACAGTCCTAGTTAATGAGATCATCGAAGAACAAAGGAATGAAAGAACGATGACAAACGATTTGTGTGTGTTTGCACACACATGCAGGTGTATGCACACATGTGTGCATGTGTGTATGGAGGCCAAGGTCAATTTGAATGTCATCCCTCAAGCGCTACCTCCTCTCTTGTCTGGATCTCTCCTGGCTGACCAGAGATCTCCAGAGATCCCCGCCTCTCCAGCACTGGGATAACAAGCACGCTGCCACCCTCGCCTTCTGACATACATTCTGGGGGTCAAATTCAGGCCTTGATCTCGCTGTCTTTACTGACTGAACTATCTCCCCAACCCCACAGCAAATGATTTTTAAAAACTCCTTTGGTTGAAAATATAAAATCTCAACAAAAGAATTTTGCTTAATAAACAAAGCAACCAGAAGCATACGGTAAAACCGTTCACTCCAGATCACAAAGAGCTGCGCTTATTGTTAATGATAAGTGTCTACTTGTCTCCATCTCTGCCCACTTCTGACTGGCCATCTATGTAACGACTTTGTGAAAAGAATGGTTGGGTTTTGTGTTGTTCTTTATTAAAAATGAGCATCACCCGTGTGATGATGGTATTGGGTTGAGTCCAAGGATTCCCACACAGGTGAGCTTCCCTCCTTAGTCTGTCTCAATGCCAAGGACCCCAAGCCTGGCCCTATCTCTTGTATTTTTTTTTTAACTTCAAAATGAGAAGCAGTGTAAGGGATGGAGTGGGGGATCCTTGTAAATCTCCATGCACACTTGGAAAATCCAAGTGATAAAAAACACATGACCTTTGGGCAGAGACGGGTTAAGTTCTTATTACCACACACAGGTAATAAGCACCAGAACGGCATTTTAGAAGCACAAAGGGGACACTCTTCCTTTGGAGCAATGAGGTGGGCATCTGCTAGCTCTGGACAGCTAGAATGGCGGTGGTAGGCCTGACACCAGATGGGCATTTTCATGAGCTCGGGAGAAATAGCAGGGACCCTCACTGGACACAGAGGCCAGCCCTGCGTCTCTGTGTACCATTGGTGGTGGTTCCAGGAAGAGGCCTACGGATGCCATTCTGGTTCTTTGCCCAACAGGCTGAGTCACTCTGGTTGAGTCCCTCAGTACCTCACTGGCCTCTGACTTCCTTTACTATGACTGAGGGCTGAGTGCCCCCTCTTCCTGTAGGATGACTACAAAAATCCCAGAAGATGGTAGCTTTCAGCCAGGAAAGAGAATGCTGCCCCCTGCGATGCAAAAGAGACCCCTGTTCTCACAGTTTCATAGAACACCGTGCCTTCCCTTCCAGGTACCCCAAACTGGCTGCCAAACACCGGGAGTCCAATACTGCGGGCATCGACATCTTCTCCAAATTCTCAGCCTACATCAAAAACACCAAGCAGCAGAACAATGCGGGTGAGTGACCCTCCGGCCAGGGCCTGCTTCATGCCAAGTGGTGCATCTTTGGCTTGCTCATGGCCATGTCATACCACCAGGCCAGAGAAGCTTCTGGAACCAATGCTGCTTGTTATTTTCTCATCTGCACTCATCCTCCTGACTCAGAAGGGAGGGCCCAGAACTTGCTGCCTGCATTGTAGGAGAAACAAGAGCATGCTATTGCTGATTCAGAGGCAGGGGTGTAGCTCGCTTCGGAAACTACCTTATCACACAGCAGAAGGCATGGCCTGGAAGGCTTCTTGGTGCTCTGCGTTTTCCCCAGACATATGACTCCACCTGTGTTCACAATGGGACACAACTTTCCACTTCTTTATAGTCCCGGAAAAGCTTTTCTGGGGCTGACAGGAAACATGCGTCGGGCAATGAGGGTCAAAATTTGGTGAACCCTACAGACCTAATTCTCTTCGCAGTTATGAATGTGGGGAGTCTAGGGAAGGACTTTGGAAAGTCCCGCTCTCTCCTCCACACAGCCCTTCCTTCCTGGCATTGGCTGCAAATCTAGGACCTGCTTCCCCTGTGATGCCCTGTCAGAGGGATCTGAGTACACCACATTTAAGCTCGTGGAAATTTCAGTCCCTCATTCAGCAGTATTCTTTAAAGGTTTCTGAGGTGTCTGTGTGGGACCTGAAGAGTGGTTGTGAGATCCTTAAAGGAAAGAGGTAAAGAAGAGCATTCCCTTCACCATGGAGAGAGAGGGTGAGCTAGATCCCTGGGATCCAGTACCAACCCAAGCAAAGGAAACACCATAGGACACTTCATGAATGAAACAGTCAGTGATGCACAGTGGACCACAGGAATATACCGGGTGCTCTTGGAGTTCAAATCAGGGGGTGTCTCTGAGTACCCATGAGAGAAAAAAAATGGTATATAGCGAGAACAGAACCAGCACAGTAGGAAGGGGATACTCCTGCTACAGCTCCTGGGATCTTGGTTTGAATCTGGAGGTTCAAAGAGATTCATGACCGAGTTCAGGATGGGGGGAAGGCAGAGGAAGTCCAGGAAGGATTAATTGGCTCACAGTTTGAGAACACAGTCCACTGGCAGAAAGCCAAGATTGTCAGGTACCAGGTCGCTTTGTGCCCACAGCCTCTTGTACCTGTTGGTGTAGGAGGAAGGCTCCAAGTCACACACAGCCAAATTTGAAGACAGACGGCATAGTACAGCTTAATTAAAGGGAGTGGAAAGAGTTGATTCATGGGCTAGCAGGAGGAAAAACGTCCATGAAGGTGCCTGAAGTAGGAGTCCATCCTCTGAGGAAGTCTCTAGAAGGATTTCAACTAAAGCTAAGGTCAGAGTGTGCAGGAGGTCGGGAAGGTGGGAAAAGGCTAAGGCCAGACGTTGAGAAAAGAGGCCGGAACCTGCAGTGCTGGTCTGTGTGTCTTTGGTTTTCTCCCTTGGACAACGACAGCTGCTAGAAGGACATTTAGAAAGCACCATAAGAGAGAAATCTTTGGAGGACAGAAGACAGTATGTGGAAAATATTTTAAGCATACTTGGTAATCTTGCTTCATTACAGTTTGGATCCTTTAGTTCAAGCCCCCCCCAAAAGGTTACATGCACCTGTCCACCTGGACCCTCGTAATATGGCCTTATTTGGAAATGAGGTCTTTGTAGATGAGCTTAGCACAGGATCTCAAAATGAGTTCATCCTGCACTCATGAGTAAATCCAATGGCTGTTGTCCTCATATAAAGAGGACACAGAGATGAGGGGCAGAGGATCACATGAAGACAGAATCTGACAGTGGAGTCACGCAGCCACAGGCATTGCCATGGCCACAGCCACAGGTATAGCCACAGTCAAGGCCACAGCCACGGCCACAGGCACAGACAGAGACACAGCCAAGGCTTTCCAGAAACAGAAAGAGCAAAGGAAAGGTTGACATTTAATCTGGAATGTTCTGTCTTCCTGAACTGTGAGAGATATCCCATAATTTGAAGTCACCCAGCTGGTGGTCTTTTGTTGCTTTAAGTCCGAGGAGACTAACACAACCTGTGATAGGTATGTTCCGACTGCAGTGACAAACAGATGAGAGGATCGACTTTTAATGACGGGAGGGTGACGCTGACTCACAGTTTGAGGGTACAGTCTATCTCGGAAGGAAGGCATGGGGCAGGGACTCAAGGCCGTGTTCACAGTGTATCCACAGTCAGGAAGCAGGTGGAAGCCGATGTACTCGGCTTGTTTTCTCCTTTTATCCAGTTCATTAAATCCAGGACCCGGCCCAGGGGATGGCGCCACCCATGTCAGGGTGGACCTTCCTTCCTCCCAAAACCTCTATGGAAATACCCTCGTAGACACACCCAGAGGTCTGTTTCCTAGGTGATTCTAAATCTAGTGAAGTTGTCCATCAAGATTAAGTATCAGAGCCCTCTGAGCTTCCTGGAAAAGAACAGTTATTGACACTTTGCTGGCCCAGGGCCCAGAGGCCAAGGAGAGGACCAGGGACTTCCCTCTTCCCCTAGGCAGGCTGTCTCTTGAATTCTGTTTCTTCAGACTGTACATCTAGTGTCTTTTCATCTCAACCACAAATATCCTCCTCCATCCTTGTCAGAGCGCCCTCAGAAAGATTATCTCATTTGAATCTTCCAGACTTTTTAAATTATAAATGGTATTTACATATTATCCACATTTACAGTTCTGTTATGCCCAAAGCCAAAGCAACAGTTTCCACAGAATACCGCGTGTCAATTTCCTACGAACTCAATACTCTCCAATTTTCCTTGTTTCTCTTCTTCAGTTTCACCCTGGTTTTCCCCATAATGGGCTTTGCCCTTCTGACTCCTTTCCTAACACTCATTGGCACATTTCAAAGCTCAGACATGTCTGCTTTCTCAATAGCTGTCCCCCACACACTCTGTTTGCCCCAGCCCCACACTGAGGTCACCCAGGCTTGTAACTACCCATTGCCCCACACTCCCTTTCACTTTTCCTTCCTCCTGTCCCATACCCAGTTTTGGTAAAGCAGGATCCTAAAGTCCTTAGGCTCAGCCAGCCAGGGACCCACGCTTCTGCAGACCTGCCTTCCTCGTAGAGATAGCCTCGCTCCGCAAGAGAGCCCAGAGCCACACTCTCAAGTCAGAGCCAGCTCTGCGCTCATAGTCCACATGCTCCAGGAGACAGACCATGGCTCTCTCCATCTTCTTGGGACTCCAGGTTGGAAGATCTAGGCTTTCTGAAATCCATCATTTTGCCCTCTTTCTCACTGGCTCCTCAGTTAAGCATCTGTGTTTCCAATATCTTACTTCAGATGGTAGGCACCTCTTCTTAATTCACTATGTCATTTCTCTGAAAAAAAATTTTCAGTTTTTCAATATTTTTTAACTTTGTGTACTTGTGTGTCAAGTTACACATGTGTGGTGGAAAAGTGTGCGTATGCACACGTGTGTACATGTATGTGGAGGCCAGATGTCATTCTTCAGATGGTGTCCCCCTTATTTCTTGTTAAGGCTCCCTTTCTTGCTGGTTGGTTATCTCACTCACTGATTAGTTGGGAATGCTGTCCATTGAGCTCCAGGAATACATTTGGCTTCTAAGTGAGACCACGCCACTCCAAGCCACCGTGTCCACTACTGGGGATCAAACGGAAGTCCTCATTATTATGCAGGAAACACTTTCCCAGCAGAGCTACCTCTTTTTCCAGCCCCCTCTCTTCTCTCTTGAGTGGAGCCCTCTCTCCATCCTTCCCCTGGACACACTGTCGATGGTCGTAATCTAGTCCTGCCCCGTCACCCAGAAAGCTCAAGAAAGACCAACACTGCAAATACCATCCAACAGGGTGGATCACCCCTCTACTTGCTCACTGGCTTTCATAGCTCCCATTCCAAATCTCCCAACTGCTGCAAGCCAGACCTCATCCGTGGGAAACACTCCCAGCTGGTACTCAAGAGTGTCCGCCATTAATTTGTATATTCACCCTTTCAGTTAGCCAGCCAACAAAATTCCGTGGAGACTGGGGAAACGGCTCAGGGAGGAAGAGGGCTTGCTCTACAAGCATTCGGACCTGGGTTCAAATCCTCGGCACCCATGTAAAAAGCTGAGCATGGCTGCATCATGTGGCTGTAACCCCAGCTTTGGGGAGCAGAGATAGGCCTCCGTAGAGCTTCTTGGCCAGCCAGCCTAGTGGAAAAGGTGAACTTCCAGGTCAGCAAGAGACTCTGCCTCAAGTCAATAAAGTGGAAGGCAATAGAGGAAGACACCCTGTTCTGGCCTACACACACACTCATGTGCAAACAATAGACACACACACTCATGTGCAAACAATAGACACACACACTCATGTGCAAACAATAGACACACAGACACACAGACACACAGACACACACACACACACACACACACACACACACACACACACACACACAGCACCTACTCTGAACTCTTTTGAAACAGCATGTCTTATGAGGCAGACAGTGAACTAAGTTCTGAAGCTCCCAAGAGAAGCAGGTGAGAGCCTTTGCTCTTAGTGAACTGGCTGTCTCCAGGAGCTAGAAGTCAGGCAGATGCGGGCTTACTGACCTGGGTTTGAACTGCAGAACCAGCTGAACAAATGTGCCTGAAAGACGTGTTCTCTCCAAGGCTGTCTCTGAAACTATGATATGAACTCACTAATACTTCTGACGTGCATGGCCGTGGTTTTTGTGGCGGGTTCATGTGTCTCTTAAGTCAAAGCATATACACACCTTGGCACCGTGCCTGGCATCTAGGGCGTGCCCACTGCATGCTAATCGTAATCACTGTGGTTGGAAACCTAAGACAGCCCTGCTTCTGCCTTCGCTCTTCCTTCCTACCCACCCCCAACCAGCGTCTGCAGGCCTCTCACCCACTGGTTTTTCTCTGCTTTTTAAACTTCATCTCTCCCTTTCTTTTTTAATTTCTGAAAGCATTATGTGCTGCAGTGTGGGTGTCGAGGTCAGAGGACAACTCCGTGGGGTTGCTTCCCTTCTTCCACCTGTGCAC